GATATTTTGGACCAAAATAGAAACAATAAAATAAGAAATATTTTTGAGTATGAAGAGTTCTGAAATATCTGTGGAAACCCTGTCCTGATACCTGTCTGGTTTCTCAACAACAACATGTGATCCAGTTGTGGTTTAACCTCCATCTTTCTGTAGTTAATTTTCTGAGACTCTGTTATAAATTATGTCAAAAGTAGAGACTTCAAACTATACACCAGTTTTTAAAGACTGTTCCACTTCAAGAATAATAGTCATAATTTCTCCTTACCTGAGGAAAGTCTGCATTATGATCCCTGCTGTCTCCTCCCTGACCTTGTTCTATGGCAATGAAGATTTATTTTAAATATGTGGAAAGCAGCCAGCATGACGTCTGCACAGAAATGAAAGACGGCTGGGTTTATCTAGCATTAACTAACTAGCAAGGGGTGTAACAGGTAACAACAACTAGTCATGTTAACTAGCTAAACATTATGTAAGGTGTAACTCATCATTTAGCTAACATCATCTGCCTCCAACAGCATGACTCAACTTACATGGTTTGTTTGGTAAAAACTGTGCCAAGTTTTAGTTGCTCTTTACACCGTGAGGCTCTGCTCAGAAGGCGGGTGGTCAGAAGAACGTCTCCTATCCGTCATCTGCAGGAGTACCCTGCGCACGCTTATGGTGCGTTAAAAGACGGCTCAGGAAAACGCATTACCGTATGTTAATAATGGATAAAACAGCTGTTACGGCTGAGAAAAGTGCGGGGACAGAGAGCACAGATGCAGGAAGTGCGGGGACTCAGGGAGACATGTCCCACGCACATCCCGCATCCGTTGTGTCCGTGCCTTCACTGCCCAGGGCCCTTTAGAGACCGTGGGCCCCTGGGCAGTTGCCCAATTGCCCATATGGTTAATCCGGCCATGACTGTTACCAGTCGTGGTGATATGATCCAGGAGACAACAGGTTTGTTCTGATGAGTTTAGGTGTAGTCCATGGAAAACCCATAGATTTGGAAACAGTGGTTCAGAAATAACCTTCAAAGAAAGAGAAACAATGGTTACTAGAAGCAAAACACTCCGTAGATAACTCAGAGAGGGCTTGATGTTTACCACATAGGTTAAAACTCAGACGAGGATTGACTTGCACAAGAGCCTCTTATCCAGGAAGGAACGAGCCTGATGAGTCGCAGGTGTGAGGAAACACACCTGCAACAAATGAGCCCCAGAATTACAGCCAGCCATTCTCCAAGGGTGCCCTCTGGTGGATACCTGCAGGAGGTTGGAAAAAAACCACAGCAGAACCCCACTTCTTTCTCCACATCATGAAAAATATTTACACTACACAAATTACTCAATCTTTCATTTTAGTGGTAACCACACAATTTATATATAGAAATAGGGAGTGGGATAAGTTTGTCTTCTTTCCATTTCTGTTTGGGCTAAATGAATTCTTGCTTATGTCTACATAAAATATTATTATAAAAACATGAATTCATCCACTTATACACAAATATATACAGTAATACACATACAGTAAGGACAAGACATTGTCTGAGTTAAGTGGGTTAAGTAAGTGGATGTATATATATAATTTCGTTTGTTCTTTTTTATCTTTTGTTTTATAAAAAAGTTTGAGGTACAGTATGAACTATGCTGCTTTTTCTCATTGGACTTTAATATTTTTATGAAAATGTAATAAATGACAGAAGTTAACAAGAAAATACAGTGTGATATTGAGTCCTGAAATCTTTACTGAACTGTGGTGGAAAAAACTAAATCTGAATCTTTAAAGTTAAACTGTCAGTCATATTCTAACTGGTAGTTAGAATATGACTTGCTGCTGCAGAAGGACTCAAGTGAACAAAATGTTTAGAATTGGGGAAAGAAAATGGGGCTGGCACAGCAGCTAAATCACACTAATAAACTAGATATACTCTAGAGAGCAATGCTATGTACATATCAGTATGGCAGAGTGCTGATGGAGTGAAAGCAAAGTTTAAGTACATAAGTAGAGTAGTAGCATAATGGCAAGAGGTGAATCTAATAATTATTGAGAACAGGTGTGAGAGATCAAACAGGGCTGAGGAGAAGGACTGGGTGAGTGAGAATTCACTGATGGCATCACTGAAAAGACTAAACACACAGGATCTCAAAACAAACAAAGTGTCAAATGAAAAAAGATGAGAAGAAACATGACTAAACCCAGAGTATCATTAAAGAGAGCAAAAAAACATGGTGCTAAAATAAGCTAAGCAAGAAAACAAACACAGAGAACTCAGGATTCTGACTAATCAGAACAAAAGCTAAAATTAGCAAAACATGTAGGTCAAAGTTAAGACCAGCAAAACAATAATTAAAAGCTAAAACCAGCATCAAAGTGTTTTTAGGGCTTGGATTTTCAATTTCAGGGAGGAGAAAAGCTTAAAAAAAGTTAAATATTTCAAAAAAAAAAATACAGAATTTACAAAAACAAAAATGACCTCAACATTTTGATATACAACTTGGTGAATAATTGAAAGTATGATGACGTACTTAAAGTCCAAAAGAAAACATATGAATGCTGAGTCAGCATTCACACAAGCATAAGCAATTACAAATTGTTCAATATGCTGTTTTAACATAATTTGTCACATATAACAGAAATCCAATAAGCTGATGTTTTCAGCACATAGTAAATAAGCAACACACTTTTAAATCATCTAAAATTATTAAAGTTTTAAAAAACAGTCATGAATATATACAGTAATGTAATGTGGCTTTGTGTTACAGAATGTATTGTGTCTTGATTAGGAACATATCGATCGACATGTTTACCAAACATTTGAATCATACCTCTGAACACAGGAACACAAACACAGACTGGCGTGGGTCTAATCTGTGTGTGGGATGGAGTGATACTCCACGGAGGAGAGAGAAGGAGAGCAGAGAGAGGATGGTGTGATAATGGAGACAGTGAAGAGGAAATACTCGCAGGATATAGAAACGATGGTCCAGGCTCCTGAGGATTCAACATGGAGGCAGGAGAAGAAGGCTGCAGGTGAATGAATGAACAGGATCGTGTGGTAAAGTCTGTGGGTTCGGCTTTGGTGACATTTGGGGGCAAATTTAAGACAAAATGCCTACCTTTGGGGACAAAAGTCGAGTCCCCATTTGGTTTAAATGCCATTGGTGGGTTGGGGGATGGTTTTAGGACCAAGGTGTGAATGAAGTTTAGGTTAGTTTTAGGGTTTGTGGTCAGGGTTAGGATATAAAATTACCAAAAAATTAATGGAAGTCAATCCAGAGTCCCCACAGTGATGTAAAAACAAACCTCTGTGTGTGTGTGTGTGTGTGTGTGTGTGTGTGTGTGTGTGTGTGTGTGTGTGTGT